GCTTTACAACATATTTCTTGAATCCCTTTGAATCCCAAAATTTTGTAAATCAGTAATTTGATTGGTCGAACAATCGGTTTATGCTATTTTGATTGGTCCAAACAATGAGAATTTAATATGAAAATCATTTCCATATTCGGATTGTCTCTGCTGTAAGAGAAAGCTAGTGCACAAGTCGTGTAACAGTCATTTATTTTAAATATAGTATAGAGTCTGTTTTCGATCTACACGCATAAATACAAATTTGTGCACAATTAAAATACTTTTTTTTTTACGGTGATTAAAATACATTTTATACAAAGTGATTCATCTTATTGTATACAGAGCTGTTATCCGGTCATTATTTTCCGACCCCAGTAATAGCTTTAATTGTATCTAATTTTGGTTTATTGATAAACTAACTGTATGCAGTGAAGATGTGAAAATATCAAATCACGATTGTATTATGACGTGATTTTGTTGAGATATGTTGAATACAAGTCTATGTTTCATTAATAATAGAATTTTTCTGTTCTTTTAGATTAAAAGTTCCTTAAATCTTTGTTACCAGATTAATCAATCATCTAGATTAAATCAAGTTTTTCGGATCCTTCTGTAGTCGAATGATGCTTCAGCCGATTCGATTAAGTTTATGATTTCGGCATAATAGATATAATAAAATTATAAAATTATATATTTAAGCTATTTATAATACATTAAATCGGAATAAGTTGAATAAGAAACAATTAAAAAATGCTATAATTAACGATAGATCATGATTCAGCATTGACATACTTTGTTCTATTACAAATTTTATTCTATTATTTTAATATTTAAGCACGTATCCAAATTCAGTAAATCAATTTTAACATTTATAAGAAACCTTTTTTTTATACATAATCAAAAAGTATGTTTACTTAGTCGATTAATCGTGAGAATTTTATAAATGATTTACAATAAGATAAATATTTCCTAAATTGTAAATTTCAATAAGTGCAAAAAAAATTTAGAATTCTCAATCAGCATGTAAATGATACACCAAGGCTGCATAGAATTTAACATGATTAAAATTAGATAAGCCGTTATTGAAGTTGACAAATTTATCCTCAATGAGTTAGTTATCTTTAATCCTATATAAAGTAATTGAAGTTTTTAGCTTCTCTGCACCGTAGTAAAACGGAACGAAGTTACATCCTAATCGATTTATTAAATAAATTCCCTGACAATAATCAATAAGATTTCTTCTTTCATTCCACTGCTAGAACTTAAAATAAACTGGTTTAAAAACATTAGACGAACGGTTATTTGGTTGGAAATATTAGAATCCGGGCTACTGAAAGAAGAAACAGTCAAAAAAATTCAAATAAAAATTAAAAGTAGATATAATACAGTATGACTGAAAAACGCACCGTTCTATTGTTGGGAAGAACTGGCAACGGAAAATCTACAGTCGCAAATGTCTTAAGTAATACTAATCAATTTGCCGAAAGTGAATATGGAGTTAGTGAAACTAGAGGCATCCAAGAGGGGGCATTTCGAGTGGACAATGAAAACATTGAATTTCATATAATAGACACAATTGGAATTGGTGATACTAGATTTGATGAAAAAGAAGTCTTGAATAAATTGGCAGATGCAACCAACGCTATTAAAAGTGGCTTAAATCAGATATTTTTCGTTACTAGCGGAAGGTTCACTGAGGAGGAAGTGAAAGCCTATAACTTATTACGAACAGTTTTCTTTGCCGATAATATTGGAGAATATACGACGGTTATCCGAACCAAGTTCCCAAGTTTTCGTAAAGCAGAAAAATGTAAAAATGATAAAGAGAAAATGATTGCGGAAAATGATGATATAGCCGATATAATTCTTTCTTGTAAAAAACTTATTCATGTTAACAACATGACCGAGGAAGAAGATCCTGACTTAAGGTCAAGACAAGAATGTCGGGACATATTAAGAGCTCATTTAAAGTTTAATTGCAGTGCAGTTTATCGACCAAGAAATCTTGATGAAATAAATGAGAGAATTAGAAACCATATGACAGACAAAGAAAGAATTCAAAATGAAATGGAAGGCATTAAGGAGCTGTTAAGACAATCACAAGAAAGAGCCGAAAATGCCGAAGAAACGGCACGCAAAAGAGAAGAAAAATTACAACAAGAATTTAAAGAAACTCTGGATAATTTATCTAGTCAATATGCAGAAAGAGAAGATAGGATAGCTGCCGTAGTGGCAGAACAAATGAATTCTAAATTAAGCGAGGTGGAAGCAGCATACGGCACAACAATCAGTGAGTTAAAAAGCATGATAGAAAAATTAAATGATCATATGAATTCAGAAAGAGCTCAACATCAAAATGATATGAAGGAGATGAGAAGTTTTTACGATCAACAGTTTAATCAAACTCGCCAAGCCTATGAGAATGCAGCCAGAAGAACCGAACCAAGACCGATATGTAAAATAATGTAATGATTGAGTTTTGATAATCAGACAATCACCAGTTACATAATCTCTTTAAATTCTTTTGTTTTTTTTTTTTTTTATCAAATTGCTATTTAGAATAACAATTTTAAAGATTTTATTTGCTTATTATTTTCTAGTATAAAATTCATCGTATATTATATAGTCAAACCTCACTTATGTCCCCTTTTGTCCAGAGTTTTTCGATATATATTCTGTTAAATGATGGGAATATAACTTAGGTCGAGATATAACTTTAGTGGAGGTTTTACGGTATTTTGTAATCGGTTAGCCAAATAATAATAAAAATTTAACTATACATTTACAAAATTTGAACGAAGGCATTTTTACTGTTTATTTTTAGAATTTTAGTACAAATAACCACTCTAACTAAAATTTGGACCTTTATATCTAACCCCTGTCTTACCCTGAAACTACACCTTAGCCTTACAAATAGAAGCGGAACATTTTTGCTTAGTACCCCGACGTGAGTTAGATAGTATGTTTTTGAATTATAGCACCCCGGTGATGATCACCAGTTATAGTTACCAAAATCCTTATTTTTAATAATATTAAAGATATTTTTTGAATTCTACAAATTAATAAGATTCAAAAACGGACTAAAACTCTAAATTGGTGAAGCCATTATTGAGGTGTCTTCCCTCAACGTTTGAAAAAGCACAGGTAAAATCGATATCGAATATTAAAATATAAAAGTCGAACATGGGTTCGGGAAAATCGGATATGCTGATATGATACTTGGGGACTTAATTTGAAAATATACACCCTATTAAAATCCACCTATACTCTTTTATTATAAACGCTAACCCTAAATTCTAATCTAACTATAAAAAACAAAGTACCAAAAAAAATTTTTAATTTTCATAATAAAGTAAGTCAAAATTTCAGCATCATCCGACTTCAGCATCATACCCGACATTAAATAAACTGTCAACTAGTATTCTTCTAATAACTATTTCCGTAATCAGAATATTATTCAAATTAGTTTTTTTTAGGGTAAAGAGCATTATATATAAAACTTATGGTTGCACATTTGGGGATAAAATATTTATATTTATAGTTACTAGGATAACAATTGATACTACAATATATAAATTTATTTCAATAATTTTATTGATACAATTTTGCAATTGCATTTAATATTAATTACTTATGAAGTTGCGTAATTAATGTTTCTCAAATACTCAAATATTGAAAAAATACTATCTGATACTGAAACTTGTCAGAACCCAATGAAACAAGTAGATTTAATAACTTAGATTATATGATTTGTTGGTGTTTCAAGATCACATATAGCAAATGCATTTTTCATACAATAATGATCTTTTGCGTTTCCGTAAAATTTTAAAACAGAAACTATAAAGTCTTTAATCGCAACTAATTACGATTTTACATAAAATGTGTTACAGAAGAAAAAGGATTCGATCGTCGAATAGAAAGAGTTGTAAAGAATGAAAATAAAAAAAAATTAATAATAAAATAAAAATTTACATTTAAATATTTTGATAATTGACCATAATGATAAAATGTAATATACGCTATCATTATGTCAACCTTGAGAGTAGTTCACGATTCATCCGCAGTGCGTACCATATAGATACACAAGTTTAGTGCACAAGTCGTGTAAGTCACTTATTTCAAATACAGTACGTCTGTTTTTCGATCTACACACATAAATACAAATTTGTGCACAATTAAAATACATTTCACGCGATGTTATTCATCTTATTGTATACAGAGCTGTTATCCGGTCATTATTTTCCGACCCCAGTAATAGCTTTAATTGTATATAATTTGGGGTTTATTGATAAGCTAATTATATGCACTTAAACATAAAAATATCAAATCACGATTGTATTACGGCTTGTTTTTGCTTAAATTTAGGGATGTTAAATGGTCCACGGGGAACGGGTTCGGACCGGGTCTGGACCGGACTTTTTAGGGGGTCGGTTAAAGCGGAGCGAATTCAATATATGATCTACATACTGCATATGTTGTATTCTTGATATCTATA